CGGCGGCGCGGGGCGAGCCGGAGGGCAACCTGGGGCACGTGATGCGGATGGAGGAGGTGGTCGCGGCCGACATGCCGGGCAAGCGTGTGCTGACCGTCATACACAGGTGGGGGCCGCGGGCGGCCCGAAGATGCGATGCGGCCGCTTGCTACGCGCGTCGGGCCGCGGCGAAAGTGGAACAGTGGGGGTGGTTTTGGGCGGCGCCGAGCCGCCCGCGGGCGCCGGTGATAAGGCGGCGGCGCCGCGCGGCCCCGGCCAGAGCGAACCGCCGCCGCCGCCACGGGTGGATGCGTGCATGCTCGCCGCGTGGCCAGGCAGCCCGCCGCCGCGCGGGCGCAAGCATGCGCTACCGAGTGATGGCATCGCGGCGCCGCGCCAACCTCCCCGCAGGTCGACGCTGGACCGGGCCCTGCAGGCCGCCCCGCCCGACGCCGCCGCGTGGGCCGCGCGCGCACAGGCGGAGAAGCGGATGTACGTCGTCCCAAAGGGATCCAACGACGACTGGTACTTCCTCTATGCGGCGTTCGTCGCGCGGGTGGGCGCCTGCTCCACCCGCGCGCGCCGCTTTGCGCCGCTCTCCTAGCACGCATGCTGCTGGCATAGTCAGGGCTTCTTTGCTCTAGTGAAAACCACGAACCCAGAGCAGAAGGGGCAGCAGGACGCCCCCTGCTGGCGGCCCCTGCCCCTTCCCCAACTGCCCAGCCTCGGCGCCTCACCGCACTCGCACGCCCGCCCGCGCACGCCGACGCCCGCCGCGCGCGGCAGCCCCGCCCCTCCCCGCCACTCGCACCCGCCAGCGCCGTGCGGAGGCCCGCCGCGCCGCACATCAACCGTCGCTGATCGCGCGCTCCCGCACCCCTAACCACCCCCCGCCCTGCACACTCCGGCACACCCGGCGGCCACTTCATGCCCTCCCCGCAGGGGGACGGCCTGTTGGTGACGAACGACCAGCTGCGGGACCACGTCTGGGCCATGCTGCGGCCGAAGCACGTGCTCAAGTGGCGGGAGCGCCACATTGCGCGCTACAGCATCCCCATGAGCCCTCCCGCGGCGCGGTGAGGGCACGCCCTGGGCTCGAGGGGGCCTGTTTGTGGGTGCATGCGTGCGAGCATGCATACGTGAGTACGGTGTGTGTGTTTGTGCGAGTGTTTGTGTGAGTGTGCGCGCGCGCTCGTGGGGGAGGGGGGTGTTCAGGGGAGGATGGTGATGCATGTGCACATGCATGCATGCTGGGCATGAGCCAGCGCTGCAGGCGCGCGCTGGGCGCAGCAGCCGGCCCGAAACAGATGGCCTGCGGCGCCCGCCACCCCACCAACCGACGAACGTGGAGGTTCTCAGCAATCCTGATGAACAACGATCGCACCCCGCCGCAGGCCGATCGTCCAGTACCCTGCTGCTTTCACCGCCTGCCTGCAGCAGCTGCCGCGCAGCCGCGCGTGGCTCGCGCCGTCGGCCGAGCGCCCCGGGGAGTGGCTGTGCCTGCGGCCGGCGCGGCGCACGGCGGGCGGGACGGGCGGCGGCGGCGGCGGCGGTGGGGGAGGCAGCGGCAGCAGAGGCGTTCGGGGAGGTAGCGGGGCATGCGCCGGCGGTGGGGGCGGGGCTGGTGATCCCTAGGGTGGGTCAGACCCATGTGATGCAGTTGGGGGCCATGTGATGCCTTCGGGGCCCTTAGTCAAGTGGGTGTACTGCCAAACCCGCACATAACAGCCCTAACAATGCTTCGTCAAGTCATGCGCTGGGAGGCCGCGTGGCGTGCGCCCACCCGGCGCCGCCTGCCGGCTCACGCATGTGCAGCCGCCGGCTGGTGATTCAATCGGTAATGGACCTGCCGGGCGGCTGACGTCCGCTGTCTGGTGCCGCCGACCGCTGTGCGCTGAGGCCCTGGAAAATTCAAGGATCTATGGCTAATGAAACAGTTTTGCCTGGGGTTAGGAGAGCTGCACAGACGTCGGGGCATCGGCGCGCTGACGTATGCGAGCCGACCGGCACCTTCGTCACCGTGCCGTCAGTCGCTTCATACAGCGCCGCCCCCCTTCAGCTGCTCTCACATTCGACTTTCCAGTAATTCTATCACGTGCACAACGCTTCTCATCAAGCTCCCCATCCACTCAAGAACTTTACCAAGCTGCATCTGCCTCTCGTGCGCAGCTTAAGCCTGGCAGCAAGTACATCTGAGCTCCATTAAGCTCAGCCTGTCGATTCTGGCTTCATAACACCGCCCTCATCAGGCAGCACTTCTGACGTCGTGTAGGGCGACCATTCCTTCCGCAGCAGTGGAGGGGCTGGCTGGGGCAAAATGGCTACAGTGACAGCTTCTAGAGGGCTCTTCCCCCTGGCTGGGGGGCTGGGCCAGACCAGGCTTTTGGGAGGAGCCAGCATCGGCGCCCTGGGCGATGCTACCATCATGGCAGAGCTGGCTCCCAGAGTAAATAGCAAAAATGCGCTTGTTGGCACGCGTCTGGAGCAGCACATCAAGCACAACGTAAGTTTGGGTCTCGCGCTAGACTCTCTGTGCAATCCTGCTATCTCGCCTGCGCCTGCGCGCTGACCAGCGCGAATAATCGCTGTGCTTCAGGTCTACGACTGGGAGTTCGACGTCTTCCAGCTGCAGCGGCTGAGCGGCGGGCGCCCGCTGTTCGCGGTGGCGATGGCGCTGCTCGACCGCGAAGGCCTCCTGGTGCGCGCCGCTCCCGCGCCGTGCCTGCTCCCCACCCCCTCCCGCATGCCTTCCTGCCGCCCATGAGACGCACTCGCGCGACGTCCTTGGCCTCAGGTCGAACGCCCCGCGCGCACATGCGGCGCGACAGGTGAGCATGTGCGCGCCGCGCCCAAACCCCTCCCGTCATTCTCGGCACGCCCCCGCAGGACGGCTGGCTGCTGGACCGCCCAGTGGTCGAGCGGTTCTTCACAGAGGCGGAGGCCGCATACAACGGCAACCCGTACCACAACGCAACGCACGCCGCTGACGTCACGCAGACGTCAGCGTCCATCATGCGGCGCGTGCAGCAGCACCTCACCCGCAGCAGCGGCGGCGGACAGGACGGCGACGACAGCGGCCGCGGGCAGCAGCAGCAGCAGCAGCAGCAGCAGCAGCAGCGGCGGCCGGGCGGCACGGGGCTGTCGCAGCTCGAGCGGTTCGCGGTGATTTTCGCGGCCGCGGTGCACGACCTCGGCCACCCGGGGGTCAACAACGATTTCCTCATCCGCACGCGCCACAAGCAGGCGCTCGTCTACAATGACAGGTGGGTGTCTGTGTCTGCGCCTGACGCCCGGAGCGGGGCGGGGGCCGAGGCAGGGGCGCCACGCTGCGGCGGCACGCTGCTAGTTGATGCCCTCGGTGTCGGCGTGAGGGCTGGGCAGTTCACGGGGCCGCAAGGTTTTGGACCCCCTCACTCAACCAGGGTCGGGCGCGGGGGAGCGCCGAGCCGCCCCGGACGTCAACACCACGCGGCTGTCCACCAGCCACGCGTCACAGCCAGAACACCAGCCGCACCGCCCGCCCTCCCCAGCCCGCCACAACCCCCTACCCACCGACTTCCCCGGCGCCTCCCCACCTCTGCCCTCCCCGCCACACACACACACACAGGAGTGTCAACGAGAACATGCACTGCTCCCGGGCGTTTGAGCTGGCGCTGGAGACGGAGGGCTGCGACATTTTCAGGCGGTTCAGCGCAGAGGAATATGCCCAGGTGGGCACGCCCTGCCGCGGGCGGGCGGGGCCTGGGGCGAAGGGCTGGTGTTTTGTTGCCGGCCCCCGCCGGGGCGCTCTGCTGGAGTGCGGGCGCGGCGAACCAGGTGCTCCGAGCGCAAGGATCATCACGCGCGGCCGTCGCGGCGCGCGCGGCGGTCGCGGCCCCTCGTCGCCCCCTGGCCCTACCTCTGACGCCCAACCGCCTCCCGCCGCCGCCGCCTGTCGCGTCGTCATCGCCGCCGCCGCAGGCGCGGTCGCTGATTGTGGGCATGGTGCTGTCGACGGACATGGCGGTGCACTTTGACCTCATGGCACGCTACAACACGGCCCTCGAGGTGGGGGGGGCAGGGGGCTAGCGCAGGGCGGTGG